ATGAGGAAGGTTGTGCTTGGGGTGAGGGGGTGGTTTAGGTGTTGTTCCTGGTGGGTGGGAACTGGGGGGTTGGGGCTGGGTTGTTTGGTGGTGTCGTCGCCGGCTTCGAGGTCGTCGGAGGGGGGCGAGGTTGGGGGTGCCGGGGTGGGTTGTTGTTGGTGGGTGTAGCATGCTGGGCACGGCGGAAAAGGGGTGGTTTTCCCAGACGCGCCAGGAGAGGGTGGGGAAATACAGGTATGTCTGTCCTGTGGCCTCGACGCCGGGGACGTCGATCCTGAGGTAGTCGTCGTCGATGATGGTGATGTACGCTCGGTTGTTGAAGCCCGCGCGGGCTATCCTGAGCGGCCGGGCCAGGAGCCAGTCAAATGCCCAGACGGCAAAGGCCACGGCGACCCAGATCTCGTAACCCCATTGCCAGTGGTATCGGAAGTATACGTGCAGAAAGCAGCCGATGATGGCGAGGAGCGCCCAGACTAGGTGCCAGTCGAGGAAGAACTCGTACGCTCGTTGTCGGACAGGGAGGACGGAGCCTGGGAGGATCAGCACCATCGCGAGGGTGCCGATGATGCCCCAATACCAATAGGGATATGCAGACTCCATAGTGAGCATGCCCGGGCCCATGGTATCGTACATCTGCAAGTATAGCGCCGAGTGGAGGCAGGCCTGGAGAATGCAGATGACGGCAATCCACCGGTGAACGAGGATAAAAGTAGAGCGGGACCAGCTCGTGACATGTAGAAGAAGGTTGTTGCGGCTGGTCTGGATATTAGACGTTGTTGCCGCAAACAAGAAGAGACTTCGGGTTCCCAACACTTGCCTCGAGTAGAGAAGAGCCAGAATCAGGTTGGCGAAGCTCAGCATACCAGTCCTGGTTGGCAACCCATTCAACCATCTCGTTCGAAATGCTGGTGAACCAGAGGTTTGGCCAGGTAATCTTGTAAGCGACGGCTGAGAGGATGATATTGATAGCCCAAATGTAAAAGATGAACAGCGCTTGACCTCGAGTAGGGACAAGTCCCAGACCGAACAGGACCGGAACCGCATGGCGGGTACCAAAAACGGGAGGGTCAATGACATGAGCGTAGAATTTGCTATGTCACGATCCAGGCATTAGCTTTGCCTTCAAGCCACTTGTTTGAGTAAAGTACCTATGGAGAAAATAGGGAATGCAAGTGCTGACCTGACCCAGGATTGCGGGAGTGGTACAAAACGCAGTAGCGAAAAGAGCACCGGGGCTATTCCACAGGTGAGTAGCGCGACAAGTCTTGGAAGCCAGGTTAGCGTGGCTGCCCTTCTCATTCGGAAGCAGAGCAAACATGCGGCCTTACGCGTATTGGTTGTCCAGGGCGATATTTATCTCGATGCCTTCGAGGGACCCGTAAACCATGGAATAGAAAAACTCGTCGACGAGCTGAGTTCCGTTGAGGACCGAGCTAGAGTTATAAGTGGTTGTCGGGGTGGTGGTGATACGGGCGAGCGCATCCTGATACGAGTATTTGGGCAATGGCTGCTCATCGTTCCTCCCGGCAACGTTCATCTCCCAAAATTCTTCGAGTTGTGAAATCGTGAGATGGTCTGGGCAGTGAGACTTGATACACCAGGCTAGAGACATCAGAAATGGGTCGTTGGTTGCATAGCAGTGTGGTGTCGGCATCATGGACATCATGTGTCCAGAGGACATGTCCATGTCGTTGTGGCCGCCGTGGTCACCATGCTCGCTGTCGTCGCTGTCTCCACAATCGAGCATCCATGACCCCATCGAGCTTCGGCATGCGTACGCGCAAGTGACGGGCGCATATTGTGCTTGGCCCAAGCCGATCGTCCCATGGGCTATGCGACCGTAAAAGTCTTTCGCGGCAGCGCAGCTGATTTGAGCCGCGAAGGTGAAGAGGAGCCCCCTGAGATTTTGCATCGTCGACAAAACACGGGCGGTTGGCGAAGAAGCCACAATTTACGCCAGGTCCAACACAAAGTGGTTGCAGAAGAGTGTTTATACATATTTTCCTTCACGCACTGTAGTTACAACGCTCGCATCAAAGCGTTGCGGCGTTGCCTCATGCGAATTTCCGCCAGTCCTCGAGTGCGGTTGAGCAAGATTGAGCGAGTTTTCCCAACGCGTCGTTTAAAAAATTGAGCTGCCCTGCATCCGATTGGCAGCATGCAAACGACCCAAGAGGTCGGGACCATGTCATGACCAATGGATGTCATTGTGCAGGGTCCCCGGTCGAGATAGAGAGGGGTGGCGGCTGAAATGGTGGCGCACTATCAGCAGCCGTCATCGTCTCACTTGGTTAGAGGCGTGGATGCGTGTGTCATGGTGTTGAGAATGGCCGAATAGAGAAATCCACGAGCCACCGCCGGATGGTCTGCATGTCTGACGATGACCAACAAATGCGATCGACTTCTGGTTCTTTGAGACTGCCCCCACGAGTGATGGCACGGACCGACAAAGCCCTCTTCACACCACTATCACACCAGCTGGAACATGGACAGGGAAAGTAATCTGCAGGGTTCGTGGTCTCGTCAGCAGCCAAGCAAATGATGTACGGCCAGGATAGGCACGGTGGCTATACCCTCAACGAAAGGGGGTTTTCGTAAATGGGGTGTTAAATCAATAAAGTCATTTCAACTATCGTTTCCCGGGGAGAGATACTACATTCCTACCTCTGGAGGGCGTTAGACGTGGGAATTCAGGGGCTAGGAACTTGAAGAAGTGGCCCATGTGTCCATGAAATTAACCCTTGCCTTCTGCGCCAACTTGACCTAGTTTCGTTTGCCAGGACCCCTCTCGCACAACGGCGTGGCCGGGTCATTCATCTAGCTACAATACGAAATCCACACCTGTAATGCTCCCAGTGCAGTGGTGGCCAAGCCAAAAAGAATGGCAATGGTCAAGGAGACAGCGGTGCACCAGTACGTAAACCGGGGGCTCCTTCTTGCTTCGGACCATCGATCAATGGATGTGATGGGAGTGGGATCATCTGCCTCCCTCCAGAGAGCGTAGAGGCGGTCGGCCCAGTATGGGTATTTCTTGTATAGGCCGCGTACATCCTCGGGGTCAAGAGTGTCTTGTGGATGGTCGTGGACACGATAGTCCAAGGGAAAAGATTGGAGGAGAAGCGAGTCAAGGAGATGCTTGGAAACCGCTCGTTCGAGGATTGCGCGGGATGTCTCGTCCCCGGGTTCGGGAAAGAACAGGTGGTATGATGCGAGGGTTTCGCGCAGAAGTTGACTTGGGAGGCAGCCGCTATAGCGGTTGGCCAGTCAGAGTAGGCTCGTAAACAAGTTCCAGTGGAATGTGGAATGGAGGATCTCACAGTGACAAGGCCCCAGAGACCGTCTGGCTTAGAGCAGAATCGTTTGCTTCAAGGGTCTCGAGCGATACCCTAAGGAATGCAGGGTGGCGAAAGACGTAAAGAATCTTTCGGTTGGCCTTCTTCAGAAGGAGAAGATGGTCGGTCAGGCGATGCGTCCAGTAGAGCTCTAGACTTGCATATCGAGTGAGATAACTCATAGCAAGTTTGTCAACACGGAGGGGCCGAGCATCCTGAGGCGGGGTGTCGTCGTGCGGATAGACGCGAGAAATGTAGGCGGCTAGGGATTCGTTCGCCTGCCACTGAGGGCGAAACAGATCGCCACCGAACGTTTCCTCGGATGCTGCTGCGCAAGCCGTCATGAAAGCCACCCTGAAGGCCAGGTCAAGACAGCCATCTGCCCCTGGGTGCTAGATTCCGAGGCTCGATTCAGCAGTTCATTCTTCCGTTTGCCTCCTTCCAACTTTATGGTGTTTATGAGTGCTGGAAGGGGAGTTTCGTCCAACAAGTGAGGGTTTCGACTCAGTGCAAGGCCCCTTTCGCCGCTGCAGCACTTGAGATACGATCCTAGGGTGACCGCCCTCTCTGCGTCCGCATTCTTATGCACCGCCGGCCCCCATACCGCGTCTGCAATGCTTGCCATATCGGCCAGGGGGACAGCATCGGGAACTTGAGAAGAATTCATTTCGTGGGCTTCAGGTTCTCAAGGTATTGAACTGCCTGCAAAGCGTCGGCACCTCGAGCCTCGTGCTTGATCATTGCAGCCAGCTTAACTCGATCTGGCCCTTCAGCTGAAGTCCTGGCGCCAATCATATGGTTGCACAGCCACCAGCCACCAAATACGCCTGGAGGAGGTCAGAGCCTCATCTTGCTTCTAAGTTCACCTTATTCCCCGCATTCGAAAGATCCCAGACTCGTGACAGTCGCAAAGCGAAGGGATATCCATCAGCCGGAGATGATAACTCCTAGAAGTCATCAACTAAAGAAGGTGAAATGACGACGGTTACAACCGCTTCTACAACAAGTCCAAATGCAGACAACGATCGAGACGAGCCATCTAAAGCGGGGGACTCCTAAACTCACGTCCTTGTGGAAATGGGCGGCCACGTTGCGAGCACTTCAACAGGAAGAGATCGAACTGAAAGGCCACCCCGTGAGCCAACACCCTAATCGCGAGACCAAAGGGAAGGGGATCGACCGGACGCCATGTCAGAATCATGTTGAACCACCGCCCACCGAGGTTCCGCGTAGCGAAGCAGTTCATTCAAACTCTATCGTGACAGAGGCAGCGACGACGACGAAAGCTATCGAACCACCCACGAGAAAACCCCCTGAGCCACCCTCGGCCCAAACAACCGTGTCCCCGACGGCCACGACAATCCCAACCATTCCAGTTCAGGTGCCAGTCAGCAAGTTGGAGAGGGTCCGAACGTTGAAGTTCAGATCTCGGCTCAAGCTCAACGCTCAAGAAATTGCCTTGTCGACGGCAGAGCTGAACAAACTTCGGGCATTTTCGGCCTTCGTTGGCACGGCCAACCAACGCACCCTTTTTGGTCGTCAACTGCCTCCTTGCCATCGATATGCCGTCAGTATTGAACTGGATGGCTCTGGCGCCCAGACATACATTTGGATTGACGGTCTTACCCGTGCAGAGGATATCCGAGACTTTCATGCGGTTATATCACAGCGGAAATATCGCAAGTACTACGAACCGTGGAAGCTGTGTTTTAAGATGGTCGAAGTATCCTACACTTCCGGGGAAGAGGTTGACTTGGATCTGGGGCATGATGAGCTCACGCTCTGTGAAACGCTGCTCCGCGAAGTGCGTTCTGGAGAAACTCGCATCTCGACAATCGGCGGGCTCCTGGAAATTGATGGCTGCTTGGTGGCCTTGACAACCTCGTTCGCTCCGCCTCGTTTGCCCTTCGGCTCGGAGCAAGATGGAGAGGGCGATGTAACGGTCTCGTCCATAGCAACAACTCTCAACGATGTCGACTTTCCCGAGGATATCTCCGAGGCTCTCGTTTTCAAGGGCGATAAATCAACCATCCATCTAGTTGCGCCTCCCACGATTGGCGACGGAAAGGCCAGAGATAGTGATGCAAACCCGGCATCGATGCTTCAACCCAACCTTGCAGCGCGCATCTCGCCCGCACACGTACATGGAAATTTGAGGACACAAAGCGGACTGCTGGTTGATTCCTGTTAGCAGCCAGTACGCACTACCATACATGGTGTGGTTCGATAACCTTGTCGACAAGGACCAACAGCCGTCACGGCATTACATCACAGATTTCTGTCGAAATCCCTCCCTTGCCTCCGTCAAGGTAAGGGCTGGCGCCAGCGGCCCCCATTCTGGGACCATGTAAGTGGGGCCATCACTGATCGACGGAGAGGATGAGCCCCTCGAGGTCTGGACGCTACATCTGGATGATGGAACAGGTGTGGCAAAATTCAACTCGGTTGGACTACGGCTTGCTGACCTGTATTATTGAACCAGACCTGATCCCCGGTGATTCCGGATCATGGGTTATCGTTACGCCCATTCAGGCTCGCTGCGAGGTAGTCGGGTCCGTCGTCGCTCGTTCACCAGGAAAAGCATATATCGTCTTGCTGTCACACCAGATAGGCTATTCAACGCGATTATGCCGCTCGCCTGGATGAACACTCCTTTTTATCCCGGGATAGGGCAACTGCGTTACTACCATCTCCTCTTCGCCCGCTTCTAGGCTGAGCCCAAGACTTTTATATGGTTGGCGATGTACCCAAGTATGAGAGGAGCCTCCGGATGATCATATCTATAGCCAAGGAACACGTTTTGCCCTATCATCCGCTTGCTGTTGCATTCAGGATAGTTCTTGGCAATCGGAGTGGCTCAGTTCAACAGACCGATCTCGAGAAACTCATTGCCATCCATGGGTTAGGTCTTGAACGGGCCCTCCAGTTCACGCTGCCGGCAGACAATGGATCCGATCTCGCGCTAGCCTCACTCGGAGCGCTGTACAAAACACTTGAACAAGTGCTGAGATACAAGAATGACGCCGAACCTTCCCGGGTTGCCGCATATAGCGGCGGTCTCACACCCTATTTTGCCGAATCGTCCACCGCTTGGGAGTCCGCAACCACCAAGATAGTTTTCACGGGACGGTCATCGTTTTCAGCCCCACCAAAGAAACCGCCTTCAACACAGTCCGGTACGTTCCCCTCGCTTTACCTCTTAGAAACATATTGTTACATCTTCGTTATGGTTTCACTGACCCGATTCCGGCATACACTGCAGATCCAACCCCAACACAAGACGCAACCACCTCACACCAGGCTCCTTATCAGACCCAACCCACTCGATCGCGCTGCCGGATCCGAAGTGGCTCCAACGCTGAGACCGTTTTGTTCCTTAGCTTGCTAACTGTGATCGTGGCGTGCATCGGGGGTGGCCTGTGGCAGGTAGGAGTGAGCGACCTCCCAGTCGGCGCAAGGGCTGGTATAGGGATTGGAATCGCCTGTGGTTTAGGGTTCGTGGGCTTAGTACCCTGTTGTCATTCTACCGTCGGCGGCGTCATCTAGGAGTCTATGAGAGAGGAGCATATTGACAACAGGGGCAGTAACAGGGTGGTAAACTGGATCATGTTATCGGATTTAGTAGGTACTGCAAGCCGAAACCTACCGTACAAGTGTAATAAGAATTCTTGTTCAGAGGGCCCAAATCTCTTTTTCGTTTGCTGGTTCCAAATCTCAGTCTTAGGAGTTTAATTGCAGAACAGTCCGCCTCTGAAACGCAGAGGAGTATGCAGTGTGGAAACGGCGGGAAATTTGTTGCCATATGGAGAGCAGGACACACATGCTCCCGAGCAGGTCGATATTTGGGCGATTTCATGTCCCGTCTATTTTCCGCCTACCCTAACATTATGAGGACTGACGAGTACCCAAAAAGAAGCCTGACTTCAAGAGTAGGTTTTTGGGAAAGGATTCAAAATCTTGTCCCAGCAAAATATGCGGAGGGCAATCGCCAAGTTTGCCGGGTCGATACGAGTCGTAATCGTCGTATCAAACGGGATTCTGCCCAGCAGCAACTTGTATTGTACCTAGGTAGAGTTTTCGTCGAGGTTCAGCGGCTGATGTCGGTTTCTCGGCTTGTTTCCTATCAGTTTTGTGCCCTGAACAGGGTGGGGACTCCAATGAGCCAGCAACCCTTAAAGCAACCCTCAAATCGAGCTTGAATCGCTCCGCAAAACCCTGTTCCAACCCGCCAACCCAGCGCTCCCAACCTCAGTTCACAGCATCCCTCCCAACCAACCCAAGCCCCCAAACCAAAACCAAAACAAAACAAAACCACCAACCTCCCCCAAAATGAGCACCTTCCTCAACCTCCCCTCGCCCCCCCTCCCCCCGCACCTCGCCACCCTCCGCGCCGCCGCCCTCCGCCAAGAGCCCGGCTCCGGCTTCTCAACCAACATCCGGCCGCTCCGCACGCGACGCACCGCCGCCGCCACATCCCACGGACCCGACCCGCTGACCAACGAGACCATGCTGCAGGGCTTCGAGTGGTACGTGCCCGCCGACGGCGCCCACTGGCGGCGGCTGGCGCGCGTGCTTCCCGCGCTGGCGGGGCTGGGCGTGAGTAAGTTGTGGATTCCGCCGGCGTGTAAGGCGGCATCGAGCGAGGGGAATGGGTATGATTTGTATGATTTGTGGGATTTGGGGGAGTTTGAGCAGAAGGGTGGGGTGGCGACGAAGTGGGGGACGAAAGGGGAGTTGGAGGGGTTAGTGGAGGTTGCGGGGGGGTTGGGGGTGAGGGTGTTGTTTGATGCGGTGTTGAATCATAAGACGGGGGCGGATTTTTGTGAAGGGATATATGCGAGGAGGGTGGACGAGAAAGATCGGAGGGTTGAGGTGAGCACGGAAAGTGAGGTGGGCAAAGCAAGAAAGGTTGAGACGATGTTGGCGTGGACGGGGTTTAACTTTCCGGGTAGGGACGGGAGGTATAGCGAGATGAGGTGGAAGAACGATCATTTTACGGGGGTGGATTATGATTATGCCACAAAGAAGCATGGGATATGGAAATTGGAGGGGAAAGAATGGGCTGATGATGTTGATGAGGAGCTGGGAAACTATGACTTTCTGTGGGTTTCACTTCCCTCGGATCCCGAAGTAAGGCTGACGCGGCGAACAAAGCATGTTTGCGGACCTCGACCACAAGCATCCTGAAGTTAAGGCAGATTTGTTTCGGTGGGTGGAATGGCTCCCCCAGCAGATGAAATTTGGTGGCTTGCGGCTTGACGCCATCAAGCACTACAGCTTCCGCTTCCTCCGGGACTTCGTAACCCACATCAGGGAGCATGTGGACCCAGACTGGTTCATTGTGGGCGAGTACTGGCGTGAAGACTCTGAATACCTCGCCAGATTCATCGAGTTTATGGGACACCAAATATCGTTGTTTGACGTGCAGCTCGTGTCAAATTTCAGCAAGGTTTCCAGCTTGGGCGAGCAAGGGGATTTGACCAAGGTGTTGGACGATTCCTTGACCTTGTGGAAACCGGATAACGCCGTGGTGAGCAAGATATTCTGCTCCAGACTGATGTTATGCGCTAATAACAACCCCCAAATCTTCAGACGTTTGTTGTCAATCATGATACTGTAAGTCTCTGAAGACGATCAAGGTATCTAGCGATCAGTGCGGCTCGCTAATCGTATTCTTTGTGCAGCAAGCAGGACAGTCCCTAGAGGTACGTATACCTCAGCGTACCGCCAACACCACTGACAAATCTCCTAGCTCCCGGTTGCTCCCTTCTTCATCCCTCTCGCCTACGCCCTCATCCTCCTCCGCGCCAACTCCGGCCTCCCCTGCGTCTTCTACGCCGACCTCTTCGGCTCTGTCGGGCAGCACCCCGAACCAGCTTCACCAACCTCATCCCCCCCACTTCCGGAGGCCTCGCCCTGCCCAAAATGATGATGGCTCGCAAGCTTTGGGCGTACGGCTCACAATATGACTATTTCGACGACCCCCGGTGTGTGGGGTTCACACGTCTAGGACACCACTCCAAATCCGGTGGCCACGGCCTGGCTGTGGTTATGACGAACGCGTGGGAGTACGCGACCAAGCCCATGTTTGTGGGCCGGCAGCATGCGGGAGAGGCGTGGACCGACTTGCTCAGGTGGTGTCCAGGCCAGGTGGTCATTCGTGATGATGGTTGGGGGGATTTTCCCGTCGGCCATCGCAGTGTTGCCGTCTGGGTGAATTCTCAGGCCGATGATAGGGCAGAAGTGGATACACTTGTGTTGTGAGTACGGCCTCTCTAATGCGTCTAGCCGCGCTTTGCTTTGAAGTATCTAATGGCCTCCACTTTTAGTGACTTCGACATCTATGGCGACGACCACACCCAAGGGGCTGCACCGAGGGAAACTACGCTGGATGAAACTTCGTAAGCAACTGCCGTCAAAACAATCCTCATATCTTGGCGGAGCCTTTTCGGGTGTTTCACCGAGAGGTGGCCAGGGACGGGAACATGCAGTACATGTATCTTTTGGGCGCCCGTGTTGTGGTGAGAAGCATTATGGAAGTCTAAAGACCGGGTTTCCGCCCCAGGAGTTGACGGGAATGGAATCTCAGTTCGGTCGTAGTCAAGGCCTATACTAAACGTTAGATCGATGCGAGGTCATGGGTTGTTTTGAGTCGCTTGTCCGCTCTCGAGGATTGTTCATGCTAAACCATGCAACGTGTCCTAGCCCCCCCGGGCTCGCCACCCTCTTTTAGTTGAGAGGGAGGAAAGTCATGTTGGCCAAGCACCATAAATCCATTCCATGCTTATTCCAGCGCGATTTGGTCCTTTAATCTAGAAGCATTTCTGGGAAGACGAACTGAATCATGACGGATTCATTGGGTACGTCATCGTCCGATTACCAACATGCTTATACCTGGGCGTCCAATGTTCCTGGTTCTCACCCCTCACGGTAACCCCTCATGCGGCATGCGACGGCGAGTCCCGCCCGTCCGTGCATTCATCTGAGATCTGAGCCGCAGGGTCGTCCCAACTTCATCTAGCCGTTAGCTAACTTGGACATCTAAAACCAATTTGGCTGGCCCTCACTCAAGTCTCCCAAAGCCGCGTCTGCCCGACCGTTGGAAAGGTGCCACCCGGCGGCCCGGGACCGCGTGCAGGAATGCAAAACGGATTTGTCAGGGGACGGCCGTAGAACATCGGGACTGGAATGGAAAGACCACTAGATTCTGTAGTCAAGAGGCAGCGACTTTGTTCAATCAGTCAGGCCATCAATATTCTTAGGCACGTATGGCACGTCGGGTCAAGTCGGGGTTTGGGCACGGATGCAGGAGCTGCGGTGCGGTGAGAGAGTGCCCGCGAGTCGCCTAAGGAGATGGTTCAAAGGAAGCACATCATGATAGAAAGCTGAGAGCATATGTATACATGGCGGTGTTGCCATGTCACGCGACCTCATTGACGACGACCTGTATCATGTCCATGCCCTGAAGCTGCTTTCTTCGTCTCAAGAAACTCCGCATCGGTGAGATGCCGTGTTCCTCGCTCCGCGCCGAGGTTGCAGCAGCTCGACCAAGGAGGAAAGGGCAAGGGGAAGCTCAGGGAAGAGACAAGGGATGGAAGGCAGCGATTGACCAATGGTTAGCTCGCCCCGCAAGCCAGCCGAGATTGGCCGCCCATCAAGTCTCGTGCGCTTCCTTTCCCCATTTCCCCATGGAGAAATGGCACAGTGGCTTGGCTTGGCTCGTCAGGGTCAGCACCGCTCCAGTGCTCAAGTGTCTCAGGACTCCCCAAACCTCGGGATCTTGGGAGCGGGAATGGAAAAGCAATTGGCCTCAAACAAATCAGTTCGTTTTTTGGAAGTATGCTTCCATTTGAGATAAAAACATTTGCACTGAGTCAAGCCGAGTCTTTAATTCGAACCTTTTTTTGGACGGGGAAATGGACTCGCGACTTCCCCAGGTTTCCTCCTCGCACGGCTCCTGCCGGAACAAAACAAGTCTGGTACGCCCCTTCCTGCGATTGGTTAGCTTGATTGCCTTTTCCTTGTCATTGCATTTCTGTTGTGACACCTTGATGCCTCAGGAACCAGTCCCCGCACGAGACTGCCACCCCCTCTCGTTCCCGCCCTCTTCTTCCTCCTTTCTATTTTATCCAACATCCGACCATCACTGTCACACACTTTCCTCCCATCAATTCCATCCAACAACCTCCAAAAATGTTCGCCTCAAGCCGGTTGCCCGGCGTCGTCGCCCGTATGGGCATGAAGCAGCCCGCTCGTTTGATGTCAACGGCACAAGGACAGGGTACGTTCTCCACTGAGTGGGCCGACCGTCAGCTCCACTGGCCCAGAATGCGTTATTTACCAGTGCCATCTCAACTCTAGCTCGCGTCCCAAGCTCCATCATCTCCACAATCTCCACTGCTCGCCAGGCGGCTGGGCGTAACGGACTGCTGCTGAATGCGCGGCACGGAACACTTTTGCCTCGACCATGATCCGTGGCACGATGCAATCCCGAAACGTCGTCGTTGAGTCGACCGCCGCCGCGATTGTCACGGCTGCCAAGGTTCACGGTGCCGGAGCTGCCACTATCGGCCTCGCGGGTGCCGGTGTTGGAATTGGCACAGTTTTCGGTTCGCTCATCAGCGGTGTCGCTCGCAACCCGGCCATGAGAGGTAAGACGACTCGACTGACGGCCCTCAGCCGCACCCCACAGCCCTATCGCCCAGCGCAGCGGGGACGCAAGCTGACATATCTTGGCAATTGCAGGTCAGCTTTTCTCGTACGCCGTTTTGGGCTTTGCCTTCGCCGAAGCCACCGGCCTGTTCGCCCTGATGGTTGCTTTCCTCCTCCTCTACGCCTACTAAACAATGTCCTGGGCACCTGCGAATTGCGACTCGCGTTCGTCTGATCGGGGGGAATGGGTGGTAGACATGGGGTCCGCGAGCAGGTGGAGACAAAGCCGTTAACCACGCGAGCGGCTGCCGTTTTAGCGCTGGTCCACCCACGATCCCGCTGGAGTCAGCCAGGCCCCCTGGTCCCCCGCAATTTTGGTGGATCAGGTCTCCGGAATGGAGACCAGCGGTGATTTGTAGCATAGAAAGACGATAAAGATGGCTTGTAATTGAGGCTATAAAATGGGTTGACTGCAAGACTTTTTTCCTCCTGTGTGCATCGACCGGCCAGCGCCTGATTTGCCGGGGAGCAGAGCTCTCAAAATTTTTCCCGCACAAATGACGCGTTCCTCATTTGGTAATGTGACATCCAGCTCACAGAAAAATCGAGCTTATCGATGTAGCATCACCACCAACCACCAACGCTGGAATGCCTGCAGAAGCGCACTCAACTGACCAGTGTCGATATTCAGTTTATTGAATATCCGTGAGTACCTGTGCCCCCCGAAACGCAACATTTTGTGCCCTGAAGGACTGACCCGGCAAACCACACAAACCACGACTAACCAAGAGGCTATTCACAAGGTAATTATCATTGGAGATTCTGAACGAATCAGTGACGTTACTCCAGTCACACTCAAAATCTCTGTTGCATGGCGAGAGACAAGTGCAATTTAGGGACCGTTCTACACTCCGGACGCCCACTGAAGCCCGGAAAAGAGCTGTAAGTGGACGTCGTGGAACGCGGCACTCGCCCCCCTTACGACAACAGCCGCACCCGGTTCTGACTTGTAGCGGAGTGGTATGGCTTAAAAATGTGTGTCTACTTGACTAATACGTGGTCACAGCGACTCTGGTAGTAGTAGGAAGGCGAGGAGTAGTTACAAATTATTCTTTGACTGAGATCCTCCGGACCTCCAGTCCCAAGAGCAGTATCTGGATATCAAAAAGCATGGGTGACGACCCAGTGTTCACGTTCTTTTACCAAGTTCCGGCCTCTGCCCTCTTTTGGTACGGTCTGGTGCAGCCGTATGTAGAGCCGCGGGTTGGGCACATGCAGCTGGGCCACAGACTTGGGCGAGTAAGAATGGGTTTTCTTCCTCGTATTTCCCCGCATTCTACCATCGCCTTTCCTCCGTTTCATTCTTTTCCTTTACATCTACGGCTGACAGAGTTTCCACCCGTCGATACAATGCTTTCGTCGCCCAGCCATGACCACGCTGAACGCCGCCAATTACCACGTTGCGTGGATCGCTCCACTCGCGATCGAGTACGGTGCAGCCATAGCGATGTTGGACAAAATCCACGATGGCACATTCCCTGCTGCGAGAGGTGGCCACTATGTATTCACAGCTGGTGAAATCGGCCACCACAAAGTCATCATCGCAAACTTGGCCGGAGAGATAGGCAACGTCACTACTGCTGATCTAGCAGCCGAGATCCGTCTCCTCTTCCCCAACATTTGCCTGAGCTTTGTGGTCGGCATTGCCGCCGGCCTTCCGCTGCCGCCAAACCGAGACATTCGTCTTGGCGACGTTCTCGTCGCTGTACCAAACCAGAAGGACTCCGGTGTCGTGGTCTACGACTTTGGAAAGAAGACACCTGAAGGCTTCGTCCCCATAAAGTCTTTCGCACAGGCTAGCAAGCTCGCCCAACCGGCAGTTAAAACAGTCCGAGGCGAGTGGAGGAGACTTCAAAGAGACAAGTTCCTCTCACACTACGCCAAGATCATGACCAAGAGACACGAAGTTGCGGTGGAGGGTTACCCCGAAGATTATACAGATCCAGGGCAGGAGAAGGACGAGGGACCTATCAACCCCTTGGTGTCCGTGGCTGGAGAGGACAAGGCGGACACAGACGACGCCACGACTACCGCGGCCACGGGGAGCATTCAGGACACCAGGACAAATTTAGAGCCCCCGAAGAACCCACTCGTGTATGGTATGGATCAATTGGAACGGCAAATCTGGTGATGAAGGATGCTTCAACAAAGACCGAGCTACAGAAAATGCACGGGATCATTGGCCTCGAAATGGAGGCGTATGGAGCGATGGTTGGACTCGAAGCTGGTGTCATCCGAGGGGTCTGCGACTATGGGGACGAGAAAAAAAAGGAAAGGTGGCAACCATACGCCGCTGCTATGGCTGCTGCGTATGCCAAGACGGTTATAGCCAAAGTCGGGGACTTGAAAGGGAAAGTCTTTTGAGTGAGATGGTGAGTACATTGGAAGTATTAATGTTGAGGACCGCACAATGTGTTCTTCGTTTCTCTCCTTGGAATTTTCCATTGAGAATTGTCATTGTTATATTTATCAGAGTAAGTCGAGTACCCCCCCCTTTGGGCCACTTCTTACATCCACACCCTGATCTTCACAAATTCCCAAGACCTCGGCCGTGACAAACCCGCCTGGTTCGTGCCGTTTGGACGCAACCAAGATTTTGTCGGGCGCAAGTCAATTCTGGAGCACCTTCTGAAGAGGATCCCTCCCTACGCAGAGCCTGATAACTGCCAGCGGACGGCCATCGAAGGCCTCGGCGGCGTGGGAAAGACGGCGGTCGCGATCGAGGCGGCCTTCCGGGTCCGTGAGGAGCACCCGGACTGCTCCATTTTCTGGGTGCCAGCAGTGGATGTCACTAGTTTTGAGAACGCCTACCGCGAGATCGGGCGAAAGCTCAACGTCACGGGGATTGACCAGGACGGGGCAAACGTTAAATCCCTCCTCAGGGCCGAACTGAGCCGCGAAGATGCCGGCAGCTGGCTCTTGATTGTCGATAACGCCGATGACGCTGACCTCTTTGGCGACACGACTCTCGCCGACTCCCTCCCATTCAGCCTAAAGGGCTCTCTTCTGTTCACGGCGCGGGATCATAAGGTCGTAGCGAAGCTCGATATTCCAAAAAGAAATGTCATTCACATCAAAGAAATGAGCGAGGGCGAAGCTCTCAAGCTTTTGGAGATGCACGTAGAGGAACATCAGATATGCGACCTGGACACATCAAAGCTGCTCCAGCTTCTCGCTTATCTACCTCTAGCCATCAGACAGGCGTCTGCATACATGGTTATGATGGGAATATCGACTACAAAGTACCTCGATTTATGCCAACAAAGTGAGGAGGACATGATCAAACAGCTGAACGAGGATTTTGAGGATCGATATCGCTACAAAAAAGGTCAAACCAACGCAGTTGCTACAACTTGGCGGATTTCGTTCCAGCTCATCTTACAGCAGGACCCTGTGGCGGCAAATTACATGAGATTCATGTGTTTCCTGGCTGAGAAGGACATTCCGCAGTCCTTGCTGCCGCCAGGCAAGGCTGGCGAAGTAACGAAAGGGGAGGTGACGAAAGCGATTGGCACACTGAAGGCATATGCATTCATCACCGAGCGGGAGGAACAAGATGCATACGATATCCACCAGCTAGTTCGACTAGCGATGCAGAATTGGTTGAAGGAGGAAGGGAAATGGATGGAATGCGTCGCCTCCGTGATCCAGCGGCTTTCTAAAGCGTTTCCCTCTCTGAAACATGAGAACAGAGCCGAATGGCTGAGGTATCTGCCGCATGCACAGACAGCCTTAAGCTATTCGGACTGGAACGCCGTCTTCCAGCTGTATGACATGCGCCGGCGGAGGCAGCTTGTCTGCGCGTGCGCGATGTGCGGACCCCTCGGGGCGCTGATGGGCGGGACCTTAGGGGCGTTCTTGCTGGGCCCCAGAACGGTCCTGGGCCAGATCTTCCTCGACTCCTTCCTGACGCTGGGACTGGTGGCGTTGGGCTTCGCCGCGCTAGGCTGCACATGGCTTGTCAAACTGGCTCTCGAAAGCGCCACAGGTAATGAGGCGGAACTCTGTCTTCTCTTTAAAGTAGGCAGAAGCCTTAATCACCTGGGAAGGTACGGAGAGGCAAGGCAGATATATCAGCAAACGCTCCAGTTAGCGGAGAAGGTGCTGGGTGAGGGACATCCCGACACACTTCTGAGTATAAGCAACCTCGCAGCATCGTTCGATACATATAGCCTAGGGAAATTCGAGGAGGTGGAGGAGGCGCACCAGCAGATTCCGGCTCTGCAGAAGAATATACTAGGCGAGGAGCATCCCAGTACACTCAGCAGCATGAACAACCTCGCGTTCATACTAAACCAGCTTGGGAAATACGAGGAGGCAGAAAAGATACACCAGCAGACACTCGAGCGGAGGAAGAAGGTGCTAGGCGAGGAACATCCCGATACACTTCTGAGCGGAAATTACCTCGCATTCGTGTCCGAGAAACCAGGGAAACATGAGAAGGCAGAAATGATGTATCGCCAGACACTAGAGGTGAGGGAGAAAGTGCTGGGTAAGGAACACCCTGATACCCGGCGAAGTAGAACCGCTATGGCAGACTACTTGAGAGCCAAGGAGTCGAGGAACTTGGGACCCCAATAGAAGAACAACTTGTTCGGTAGCGAAGAATAAAGTTCATTCCCATTTCGAGCTACATGCCGTTAAATGCGCCACGTCGGGCGGTGGGCCTTGGAGGGCAGGTGTAGACGAGTGCGTCTCGCGTCGCGATGCGCAGCCCAACGCGCGGATCCGTACGAGGGTCGTGACGACATCACGAGCATGCACCAGTGTCCCCAGCGACCAGCACCGCACCCTCCCGACGAGGACCCGCAGCAGCAAGTCTGGTCCGTCCTGTCCGGGTAGTGACCGGTGGGACGCCGACACCCACCTAGCCGACGTCGAGCAGCCTACTTCTGTCCGCGATCGCTACAAATTGATAGTAACGATAGGGCGGAAGGGGTACACAACCAAGACGGCGACGAGAGGAGTGGTTCTTTCCTGCCTCTACTGCCTCTGCTCCGCGCGTCGCCGGCTTATGAGACTTACCCAAGTATATTTTACACGGTGCTCACCTCCCCCTCGTTGTTTCTTGGTTACCTAGGTAGGCACAGACACACTACCGCTCGACGAGGAACAGCGAGCAACCACGACAGGGTCCGGATTGAGTACCCAAAATCTCAGACGCTTTATCGCATTAAGCTACTGCTGCTGTGGCCCTAGCCCCTAGACTAGAGTGTTCACCGTTAAGAACGCTGCGGGGTTTTAGTCTCTTTACGGGGCTGGATAGGCGCGTCGAGAGTACCTATTGAGCACTCTGTGAGAAGCTGTTTGAGTAGAGTAGCGCGCTGTTCCTAAAGCCAGGGATCTTGGTTGAAGGGGTTATTCGGCAGTCGTCACGGGTGCCAGGCGGTTGTGACTCAGAAAAGAAAAGGGAAAAGCTTCAATTGTGTTGCTCGTGGCCCAGAATGTGACAAACGGTCCACAATTGATGCCTTTTTCGGTTTCTCCCGACACGTCAACAGAACCCCCATCATTGAAGGAAGGCCGGCCGTTTAAATGATCTATTTGACAAAAGATCCGTGCATGCGAGGCGAAAATTTGGTCGAGTCGCTGTCGTGGAGTGGAGCTGCCGCGTACTCTTATGCCTTTATGCGCCAAGTCACCTCTTTCGACTCACTTACCGTGCGCGCATACATGGACGTACCCAGTTAGGTGATTATTGAATTCCTTCTCAACCAACCATCCGTCCCTTCTGTTCACTCCGGAGATGTTTGAACCAACTGTGACACGAGCGGGTAAAATGCTTCAGGTGTGCCGAAGGCCCCCTTGCTGACAGAGGGGTTGCCGTGTTGCCGGCCCACCGCCCGTCCATTGGGGGCTGAGTCGTTATCACCACAGGCAAACTCATCCCTTGCCGGCGGCAACTCGATGCTGCTAATTGAAAGTGAGACTCGCAATCCAGGCGAGCCGTCAAGTGATTACGCGTCATGGGTGCTTGGGGACGCGTCGCGTTCCAAAGTCTCTGAGCTGTAAACCCATGGGCGACTTTTCAACTTCGGGAGATGGAGGCATCATCACGGCCAGGCTCGACGATGTTGCACCGGGTGTGTTGGACAAAGCAACCGCAGTCAACGTCGGCGGCGCAGCAGCTCAGACAATGGTTCAGTGGGATTGGCTCTTTCGCCCAGTAGGATGCAAGGGAGTGGGATCGTATCCGTTTCGGGAAGCATCTTGGCAAAAATTAGTTCAGGGCGGTGGGTTGGCGGTGGGCTTGCGGTGGGGGCTTACCTGCGTTCGGTGCCGCGGGTCTGGAAATGAGAGCGCCCGTCCCGTCTCTTTTTTTTCGGTGGCCGCCTCCTTTCAATTCTCCAATTCTCAATTCTCTCCACTCTTTTCTTTTTCATCAGGTGAGGTTTTCGCGCGCCTCCCTGGCAACAACGACTGCTGTTTAATATCACATTACACCATGTATCGGTAGCGGACTACTCTCATTCTTTGGCTTCCGGCAACTTTTTTGCCATGTCTTCCAGGGGCTTCAAGATCCCCCTCTCTATGCACTGGGTTGCCGTCTATGCTTTTGCCCTGGTCTCTCTCTTCGGCGTTTACCTCCTTTCCTTCAGCGACATCGGCTACTTCCGCGACGACCACACAGCCGTTGAAGGGACCCCGAATGTTCCCGCCGCGCAACCTCCCCCAGCAACGGCGCCCTTGAACCCAGCCCTAAACTCTCCAAACGCCCCATCGACATCGACGACACCAGCCAGCGATACCAACAAAGGCGCGGGGGATCATGTGGAGACCCTGGACCCCCCCCAGCCCGGCCAAAGTCAAGATCGTCGGCCTTGTCTTTTTTGGTCGCAGAGACCTTGTCCGCGTGCTGGATTGCTACCTAAGGGTAACCTCGACTCCCATCCCACTCGGAGCGCCGTCGCGACGATGTTGACTGGACCCCGTATAGCGCAACCTTAGGATCAACGGCGGCTCTCTTGGACGAAAGTGATTTTCGCAATCAACACCGACATCAAAGAAGACCTCGACTATCTCAACAACGAGCTCCTCTCCTTTCCCTTATTACCGCAAGTTTCAGGCCAACGAGCACCGGTTACCTGGGCCAGTGTGGTTGGCCCGTCGACGAGCGCGACACCATCTATGTCACAGATTGACGGACAACGTACGTGGTCTTCATCGAGGATGATACGATTAGCCAGTGTCGTCCAGCCCCTCGTCGATAACCCTTCCTACTTCGCCGTCTCGGCCAATGTGGTCAACAACCCCGCACTCTCATGGGTGCACTACCATTTAGGCGTTTTCGAGCCCTACTGGCCGGAAATGAAGAAGCCTTGGACCCCTTCATCGGAGTCCTCCTGGCGCGCTTCGGAGCTCCCTTCGTACAAGGGTCCCGCTGACGGCCCCGACGGCTTCAAGATCGACGGCTCGACCCCGGCTCCTTTTCCCGGTCACCGATGGCTCCCAGTTCGCCACAAGAATAAGGACGAATATGAAGACCCGACAAAATTCCCCGCTTCGACACTCACATATGACGCTCACGGCCCATCGCTGGACAACTGGGCTACCGCCGCCCAACTCCATTATTCCTTCTTCCAACATCTCGAAAACAACGAAACTTCGCTTTACAAGTTTGGGATCTGGGATTATCACTACGCCCGCATCAGCATCAACTTCATCGCTTTGCGGGGAGGTGACATCATGGATGCGTATCCGTTCCCTCATTCGGATGATGAGAAGTTCTTGACGGTGGAACACTCCAGGAAGCTTGGCAAGCACGTCGTCGTGGCGGGTGACGGTCTTGCCGTGCATTATGCGTTCCGCCCACAGCGGAGGGCGCACGACGGACACGGCATCACGGATACCGACATACTGAGGCGATACACGGCATATGCCAAGGAGCTGGTTTGCCCTTTCCCAAAGAGGGAGGTGAAGGCTCCGCCGCTGCTGAGGACAGAACAAAACAGAAGGAGGAAAGGGCCAGGGAGGAGCAGGTGATGGTAGTAATTTTTCTCTTACTTTTGGGATATGATAAACTAATTGGATAACCGTGGAGTCGAAGGTCATGTACAATATGTAGAAAGGAATATGATGTTCTCGAGCTAACCACATGCCAAGCCGTTGCAACTGCACTAAGTTCTGTTAG